CCAAACTTGTAAAACTTTTAGAGTTCACATAAACGTTGAGCCAAAACCAACTTACATTTGCCACGTCTTTTACGGATTTTCGTTCGTACTTATGTCCATATGTATATATGTATATATATATTACATATTCTCATATTCACAGGAACGTACACTCTCTTCCTCTGCTGCTCTTAATACTTCTTGTGGAGGACAATCTTAGTTAAAAAAAAAAAGAAGCAATAATCGTATACAATTTTCGGTGATCATTCTTAATATTTCTTATTAAATACACACAGTAGTAGCAAGTCAAACTCGGCTCACCCAGCGAAAATATATAAGTTCTAGGTAATATATTTAGCCCGGGGACAGCAATGAAAAGATTTGCCAGTGTGGGAAGAACATGGTTTTCATCAACAAAATCAAGTTCAATCGGTTTAGTTCAGATGGCAGGCCCAAATGATGGAAAAGGTCAAATGAAATGCTTCTTGCCAAAATTATGAAACCGACAGAAAAGTACGATGGTGAGTCTGTAATGGTGTGCGGATCATTTTCTGAGTCTGGACCTGGTGTATTGCATTATAGCTCAGCACGTGTACCTTAATGTTTTGAAAGCAAGCAAAAACTTGGTCTTGCTGAAAATTTTTATTTTTACCAAGCCGACGACCCTAAGCATAAAGCTTGCAATGGACGATCATGGTTCTTATATAATTGCCCGCACCACCCAAGAGTCCAGATATAACCCCTATCGAAATTTTTGTAGAGCAATCACGATAGGAAAATTCTCCAGCATAGCACCGATTTGAAGAAACCTTTCCAAGACGAATGGCAGCAAGTTGAACAAAATTTTTACAAAACACTTGGTCAAAGTATGCCGAATATTATAAACAAAAATGGTGAAAAAAAAGGCCTACATACCATATATTAATATTTAGGACGAATTCAATTTGGATATAGTGTTCCAATTTGGCTGTGGAATTGAACTGAGTACTATTTGATATTTTCGCTTTATAAATATGTTAATGGAATTCAAAATTTAAGTTTAGCTGTTTTTGTTTTTTTTTTTTAATTATTTATGAAATAAACTAATAAAATTTATAGTAACTCCGTTTTTGATCTAAAAACTAAGATAAATAAATTATTTTCACTGTACGAATTTGGCTTGGTGCTACTGCATATAATCTTATATAAGCCCTCAAAGATATAGGTTAAGAGCAATAGCAGGCAAATACAAGTTTTTATTAAAAAGAAAGATAAAATAAAGTCAATCATTGAATGGAATAGAAACATGAATCTAAGCATTGTTAATTCTCAATGGGATCTTTAGGAAAATTAACTTATTCCTAAGTCATTTTTGTAGCCGAGGCACATCAACCAATGCTAACTACTAAGGAATCGATAGATGATAAAAATTGATGATTTTTTATTATCACAAACTGGTACTTATATACTATAATATTAACAAACTAATGCAAAATAAGCAAATATAAAGTTTTGTGAAATTAACGATTTTAAACAATCAGGCCAATGCAGCGAATAAAAGTGCAAGTATGCAGAAAAAAGCATTTGCTAAAAATACATTGCTTGACCAATTAAAAAAAAAGTGCCTAATAAGCAAAATATATTCTAGTACACCGAACAAAAAAATAAAGTATACTTAAATATAAAAGTTAAGAAAATCTTAACAAGTCTATAGAGACCTTTTTTTTGTAAACTTTTTCTGTTACATTCGTGCATATTTTCGCATGAAATATGCTAATCGCTCAGAATTCTGTACAAATTAGTAAATAACAGTTAAAAGATTTAGGCAATGTTGCAACGGTTCATCACGATTCGTAACAAAAAAATTAAATTGATTGAGTGTATAGCTTGTGTTGCGTTACCTATGAAATTTTACATAAGCTTTTAAAATCTCTGTTTGCGTTATTTTTAACAAAAAAAAACAGTGATGTATTTGTGAAAACGAAACATCAATCATATGGTTCATGTTTCAAACACTAGATGATCTTAAAGTAAAAGTCAGTTAAATTAAAAAAAAAAACAGTATTAATTAGACTTAAGTCTACTGCTATCTATTTCTATACGAGAAAGTCAAATTTTGGCCTTATTCACTTTGCAGATAAACACTTGCCATATGATTTTACTTAAGCAACGTAACGCAAGCATTGTGTTCACCTCATAACAATATAACGAAAGAAATCTATTTACAACGAATTAAAAACAGAGTTTTATAAAATTTATTAATGTACACAGCTTAATGTCCATATAATAAATAAAATAATTTTAAATATTTAGTGTAACAATTGACGCTAAGATCATGTACTACATTTGCATCCAAACACTCTAAAAAGTTTATTTTGTGTATTACCGCACTCTTTCCCACTTACTTTTCTTGCTTTGTGGTAACACATTTTCGTTTTTTTTTCTCCTTTCTTTCACAGACACCAATTTAATGTGAAATTTAATTTATCCTCTATAGAATTCTATAAACATTTTAAACTCGATATACAATTGCATCTGTACGAGTGCAACCGAAAAAAAAAACAGTAATAATTACTTTGTCCTGAACTAGCTATAGCTAGCTAGCTGAACTATATTAGGTAGTGAGTGAAGACGCTACGGTACATTATAGACAGTTTTGGAGGGGTATTTTTACTAAATAGCTAACGGCACCTTGGTTTATCATTAGTAGCTGCTCAAAATAGTATTACGCAACGTAGAACTTTCACGATTAGGAAAATATTCTTAGCAAAGCGTAAAAGTTTAACTTAATTTATTTATGCATGTAAACAAAATCTAAGAATTAATTTCTTTCTTTCGATTACTGATATCATGAATTTATCATCTAAAAAATTTAATATTTTCTTATATAAAGCAAGCGTCGTTTTTGTTTTTTTCTTCGTTTTAACGAAGGCGGTAAGAAACATCCTCAATCCCAATATAAATGTGACATAAAGTTCTTAATAAATTTCCAAAACTTAACTTTTAAATCTTTTTAATACTTATCGATAACATTTTAATAAAACGACTACGTAAACTCAAAACTTCATCTGCAGTGAAAAATATTTTAATCATCTCCAAAGTCAGCTGTTAAACACAAATAACTCAGTTGACGTGTTAAGCCCGTATAAAATATTGAAAAAAAAAGAATAAAAAGAAATATTGAAATTTAACAAAAAGAAAAAAGCCGGAAATTTTAATATGGATGGCTTTATGATGGTTGGTGATATTGAAATAAAAAAGGGACAATTTTTAAAAGCTCTCCATCTCTGTGTACTTTATAGGATATTATTAAAGGCATGTGCATAATGGATAACGATGGCAATCGTATCTTGGCCAAATACTATGACAAAAATATTTTGTCCACTGTTAAGGAGCAGAAGGCGTTTGAGAAGAATCTCTTCAATAAAACACACCGCTCCAATACGGAAATCATTATGCTAGATGGCCTGACTTGCGTATATAAAAGTAATGTGGATTTGTTCTTTTATGTGATGGGCAATGCCTATGAGAACGAATTAATCTTATTGTCCGTATTGAATTGCTTATACGATTCAATTAGCTTGATATTAAAAAAAAATGTAGAAAAACGCCTAGTATTGGACAATTTAGAAATAATAATGCTAGCGTTCGATGAGATATGTGACGGCGGGTATGTGTTAAAAAAAAAATCAAAAATTTAATATACATCCGATTTCCATCATATAGCATTATTCTTGATGCGGATCCATCTTCCGTGGTAAAACGTGTTGACTTGCGCAACGATGACATTCCCATTGCCGAACAGACTGTGGCCCAGGTAACTAATGCATTAAATGGGCTCTTTTGGTAGTCTATTTTTCGTTAATTTTTGTGTTATATTCTTGTCAAGACTGCATACGATATTATTTAAATTGAATATCATGAACATATTTATTTATTTTATCAGGTAGAAACAAAATTAAATGAATTGCTCTTGTATTTTAAGTTACTTCTGGTTTTTAACAAGTGAAGAGTTGTATTCGTTGTGTAATTAAATCTCAAATAAATTCTACGCTATAAAGGACATTTTCAAAGAAAATCTTTCAAATTTTCTTTTTAGGTCTTGCAATCAGCCCGCGAGCAGTTGAAATGGTCTATATTAAAATGAAAATTGCCAAAAAGTAATTACAATTAAATTAATTTTTCTATGAAAATCAATTTTCTAACATTATGTGTGTAAGTTTGTTTATTAAAAATAAAAAAAAAGTATGTGCTATTTGATAGAATAATGCACATATTTTTGTTAAATACGAAACGTGCAAAAAAAATAATCTTTAGTTCTTTGACACCCTTTGAACTCATTCTTTTTTTTTTTTGTTCTCTTACAATTCTCCTAATGTCATATGTTATCTACATGGTTGCATTTGACACGTTCCCAAGTTTTTTGAAAAATATGCGCTTTGATACCAACAGAGGGTGTAAATATTTAATTTGTAGAAAACTTAGAAAATATCTATTTTTTTGTAGTTTGCGGGGAACAGATTATTTAAGGGAAACTCACCATAAATCAAATCGATCAAACGCAGGTGACTGTCTGGGATACGGTTTATTATTTAACTAAAATGTGCCCAAGGAAGCTTTTCAAGCTATCCAACGTCTGGTATGGGAAAATAAGAAAACGGGAATTGGGGGACTTCTGCCGACGGCCTTACAAATTAGCAATAGTATTCTTCTTTCTATAAAGAAAATTTAGCTACTGTTTTGCTTAATTTGAAAATAAAAAAAAAATAATGGCGGTCTACTTTTAGGCTAACTTATAAACTTAAATAAGTAAAAGTAAATAATAAATAAGTTTAGTTCGCGTATTTTCCAAAACATCTAGACGAGATAAAAAGCGACCAAGTTAAGGAAAAAAGAATCGGAAACAATCAGGAAACCATTAAAAAGAATAACAATTTCTTTTATATATATTTTCATATATATTAATAAAGTATTTTAAATGTATAATAAAGCTATTATATAAATAAAGCCATTTATTTTATTTATATTTAAATATAAATTATATAAATTAATATACAGCAACAGGAAAGAAGTTTGATTTTCCCAATGACAAATCAAATCAGTTGAAAAAGTCTTTGCTGCTATAAGCTCCAACTAGACGATGGTTATATTTTTATTTAAGATTAAATTTTGGATGTAATAACAAGTGCTTTTTACGAAATTATGGGACATTTAAAGTCGAATGCCCAGTTTGGTTGTATTCATCATTAAGAGCCATTAGTCTTTTTCTGGTTGCGGTTGTTCTAAACTTGGATTCCATACTTTTGTTCGATATCCGAGCTTTTATATCTTTTAATTCAGTTTCATAATCCGTTTCCTGCAAATCATCTTGAAATTCTCTTAGAATATTTTGTATGGATATTTTCCTCTCTTCCGATACGGAGATTTTTTACCATTCGCTGTTTCAAAACCTGCAGAAATAAAAAAAAAATGAAAAAATTAGCATCAAAAAAGTGTGAGGAATATCAATACATACCTTGGATTTTCTGCTTATTTCCATTGGGAGAGTTATTGATCTTCTCGTTTTGATCTAAGATTATGGAGGCAAATGAGTCATCGTCATCTTCATCCCAATTTTCACTTAACCAGTTTTACACTGATTAAATGGTACTAGAGCTAAAAAATTTTGGATTAGTTTAAATATTGTCTCTTCACAAATTTTAAACACAAATTATTTTCATTTACGTTGTACGTGTCCTCTTTCTCGATATAACCACGATCTGAAGCTTCTCCTAAAATGAATGTACAAAGTTAGGGTTGTTAAAAAAAGCCTATAAAGAGCAACTTACTTTCTGAAGAGGAATTATCATCAATAGCGGCCTTGGATTTTTCCTCCAAATTTGATTTTGCCTTTCCTCTAAATTCACGGCTATAATTACGTTTCGGCTTCTCCCGTAATATAAACAAAGGGGACCGCTCCAAATTCCTTAATTTACTCGCAGGCGATGTTGTAGTACTGCTAAAAGGCGTTGTAGAAAAGTCCTCAAATATTTTATCTACAATTGTTTTCTTTTTGTTGTCATCATGAGCTCCTTCTGGAGCTACGTTGGTTACTTTCTGCATCGTAACTTCCGCTTTATTACAACATTCGATTAACTGGGTATCAGTGATATGAAATTGACTTCCAGGAGACTGTGATGATAATTCATGACATAATGTAAATTTTTGCGAGGCTGTCAAATTGTCAAAATTGCCTATTGTCGTTTGCACATAAGGCCAGGAATCCGGACAGTATTTCATCTTCGCAATGACCCACGACATATATATAAATTTTTGAATTTCCAATGTTTTATTGATATCATTCGGGCCGTCTAACCAACTTTTAGTAAAGTTAATAAAATTTTAAATGCATTTTCCGCGAAACAAGGTTTTTCAGAATAACGGATAATGTAAAACTAACGAGTCATCTTTTCATTCGAAGATTTTACGATATCTTTAAAATAGCATTCCGAAGAGAATGCTATTTTTTTAAGCTATATTAATTTTTTTAAGCATTTTTTATTAGTAAGCGAGAGTTTTTTTTTGCTAAAAATTAAACTTAAGCACCCAAAAATCAATATTTCTAAAATCATAACGCTATCGCTATAAATATGTAAGTTAAATTAATCCATTTTTTTTTTATTAGGCTCAAAATTGCGCCAGCTATACCGCGAGAAATCGCTAAGTCATAGTTGCCTTGCAAGAATGACTATGGTTTAGCCATTTTCTCATATTTGTCCAAAATTATTTTCTATAATAGGGACTTTTTCAAAAAATCTATCGTCCTCTTAAGACCGCAATAGCAAAGTCAATTTAAATTTGTGCGCATTTTTAACTAGTTTGACGAAAAATCCGTCTGGGTAAAAAGACTCACGATGCTAGGCAGATTAATTGATAGTATATATGCGAAAAAGATTTCAAAGCCAAATTTTTCATTTTACTTATAGGCAAACGTGACTATATACACGAATACATAGGTATGCGGAGAACTCGCGAAACTTATCTAGCTGACCTGGGTAAATCCGCAACATTTTTTAAAGATTTTAGATTACAACAAATCAAAGCATTATTGTTATGCGTAGGGATTCTTGTTGACTAGCAGACAATCGACATTGGCTAAACTTGTCTTCGTGTAGAATTTATTGAAATTCCGATTTGACAGAATATTTTTGACGGGAGATCATGGCTTCTTCTAACCTTAACAGATTTTTCTAATAATTAAAGTTGCTATCTAGATATTTCTCGGATATCACAAAGTAATAGAGAGTTTGTTCGCTTTTAGCATTGGCGTTATCGAAACCTTAGTAAATTAACTTCAGAATAATAAATTCCCTCCTGTAGCTTGTTACAGATTCTTATACACGTACCTGTTGACGTATTCAAGGTGAAAGCATCCATGGGAAAAACAGAGATTACCATAGACAGGGTTTCATGGCTTAATGTATGTGTTAAGCTATTTTAATCATTTGGTGAAACGAAATTCATGAAATAAAGTAAAATACTTGTTTTAATACGCAATTAAAATATAAAAGACAATTTCCTATTACTTGTATCATTTTTCGCCATTTTCCGATTTGTTTTGCAGCTGATCTGCAGCTTAAAAGCAAAACGGGATTATCTACTAACTACTATGATTTTTCATTCATAAAGGAGGGATTTTATACACAAACCAAACAGCGGTGCAACGGAATGGACCAAAATTTAAAAGTACATCCGAAAATGTATTAATATTTGTTAATATAAAGCAAAGGAATTGGTAAATAGTCCCAATACAAATTCTTCATTTGTTTTTTGTGTTCTGTTTTCATTTCATTTCAAACATGATACAACTCTACTAAATGAACAAATGAACATATCATTAATAAACTTGCCAAAAAAAAAAACGATTTAATTAATAGAAAAGTAAAAGAAAATTTTGCCATCTCCCAAATAATGAAATTAATAAAAACTCTAATGAGTGTTTGTACTTGTAGACGATTTATTTTAAAAACTCCGAGGGATAATTAGAAAACAAGTCTAAATGAATGCATTAAAATCTAAACCGCACAAGTATCTTAATGAATGTCAAGCGACTAAAAGCTCTTAGTCTTTTTATGCCTATTCCTATTTAAAATTGCAAAATTGCGCTTTGGCAACTTTCAATAAGTATTCACGCGTTTGCTATTATTTTAGCTCGAGAAGTACACAATTTCTCTTCTAATAAATAAACTGAATTAACAAAATCAAACAAAAATATAAAAAAAGACTAATCAAAATACAGACGTTGAACAGCAATTGCTTGAAAAAAGAAATAAACAAACTTAATCAAAAACAAGTATATATACTGTTGTGTAGTCTAAAAAAAAAAAAGAGGTAAAAACAATAGCAAATTCCTATTCGCATTAAGATAAAAAAAAAAATTCTTTTCTTTAATCATAAAATAAAAAGATTAGATAAAAATCGTTTTAATACATAACTGACTTGATAACTAGATCGGTTAATTAGAAAAGTGTATGTAGAAATATAAAATAAATACATATATATATATATATATATTTATATATACAATACATATGCTTATATATATATGGACATATTTACATATACGCAATATATATGTATGTTTTTTATACAAATCAACTCTGTTTTCTCATTGACATTCATTACCGTTTGACTTTTTCTTATTTATAGAGTCAAAAAAGAGAAAAAATTGTGTAAATTTTTGGAATTTTTCACATTTGCATTTTGTATCTTAATTGCTTGGACGACTGCTTGGCTGCAGGCTTTTGGGCGTAGCGGAGTTTATTATTTTTTTTTTTATTTTCGTGCATCTTACGGTATGCTTTTACTTACCATCAAAGAGAACTTAATTTATTTTATTTAATGAAAAATCTTTTGAGATAGAAATAATAGAGGAATGTGTTCCTACGCGGAAAATGTGAATAGTGACAACAAGAATGCAATCAATTGTTATTGTGTATTAATTGGCGGCTAACTGGAAGCCGACCATTATCATATGTCTGATTGGCCAATTGTCCGCGCGCTACTGTCTACCGACTTAGCAATTATATGAACATTTTTGCTATTTTAAGTGATCATAAATAATAATAGCTGTGCTGGTTGTGTTCTGGTTTTTTCAAAAAAAAAAACGTATTCTTATGTAAGCTAAGATTTGTCGTTAAAGGAAAATCGGAGCGAAATTAAAAATACAAACTCGTTTTTTTTTTCCTCAATTTAATATTTGCAAAAACAAAAAGGATTAATAAATGTAATGTTTTATAAAAAATGGTGAGAGATTGGAAGAGACAAACAGAAAGAGAGCGATGCAGAGTGGAAGAAAAGACAAGATAGAAGAATTAAGTGTTAATTGTGAAAAATGATTGAATATGGGTGTTTGGCCGAGGGTGGAGGTTTGGGGGTGGCGTTTAAGTATTGTTGTTGTGGAAGTAATTGAAATACCACTTTATAAACGTTTTGATAACGGTTGAAGTAACACACATTTTTCTTTAAGCAAATCAAATAAAAATTCTAAAATAATTATAATAAAACGTGCGTGTTTATGCATTTTATAGAAATGTCGCACCATAGCGATGATCATTTATTAGAGGCTGGTAGCGACTCATTTTGGGAGCCTGGTAATTATAAACGTACCACCAAACGTATAGAAGATGGTTACAAGTAAGTTAACCGCATATCGTATAATAAGTTATAATCAATATTAACGTTTTTTTTTCTACTTTCCCATTTTTTGCAGGCTCTGCAACGATCTTCAGCAATTAATACAAGAAAGAGCAGATATTGAGAAATCTTATGCGAAAAACTTAAGAGGCTGGTCAAAAAAGTGGGGTGAACTCATTGAAAAAGGTAACATTTTCTCTAGTCTTTGATCACAACTATGTTTCTTTCTACATATTTGCCTTGGATAACACTTTCGTTAGACTACTCAACTTCCCTCCAACTAGTTCTCTTCAATGGATTTAAAAAAAAAAAAAAAATTGTTGCATTTATTTATTTTGCGTTTATTCAATTAAAGCTGATACCTGTTTTTCGATATAAATACAGAGTTTCTTTAATTTGAGGTCTAGTTTTTGTAACCAAATTTGTGGAGACACGTTTTCTACTTTATAGCTTAAGCTAATGGCCACATTTTCCCAGTAAAAGCAAAAAAAAAAGAAAGAAGAAAAAAAACGAAAACGAGAAGAAAAACGTATTCATATATATTTGAATCCAAAATGTTAGGTTAAATTCATGGTTCTTCATCATTAAATCGATATCATCATTTTATATTTATTTGCAAATAAATCATTTTAAAAATATTTAATACGCATCATTGATGTTGCGTCATTTTAACTGACTGAATACAGAAAGACAAATATAGGTAAACAGTCAGTAGTTAGCTGCCTGGGCTAAATATGTGAATACATAATAACAAATAATGCATCTACACAACAATACTACACATTAATAATAATAATAATACCTTGCAAGGTAACAATAAACTATATGCATAGATATATTTATATGTACGTACATCATACACTGTGTAAACAATGATATCTTAGCATTTATTCGTAATCATTGTTCTACACTGATTTTTCTTTGACGCTACATAATAAACTCGCCAAATTGCAACCATACATTAATGTGTATATATATATATATATATATATATATATATTATAATATACATATACATATACATTTGTATATTCCTGTTGACACATCGATGAATGTGTAAAGGAACAATAACAAAAATGTTTCCCCGTTTGTTTACCTATAAATCTGCACATAATTACTTACGTATTTATGCATTCATGCACATGAAAAGGTTTCAATAATCGATGGCACCTATACAAGTGCTAAGTAAAACAAGAAAGAAACTAGAAAAATAAACCCTCTCCTAATTCTCCCCTTAACTCAAGTTTAGGCACAAGTATAGAAAGAAACTGCATCAAAAGTAACGTTAAACGATAAGATGATTATGATGGTTATTTACCTTTGCCTTCATTTTTACTTTTGAGGACCCGAATATGGCACGACAGAGGCAGCTTGGAAAGGTATACTTACCGAATCTGAACGTATATCGGATGTTCATATGAAAATCAAAGAGAATTTATGCAGTGATGTTAGTTCTCAAATTAAAGCCTGGCAAAAGGACAATTATCATCATACATTAATGCAAAATAAGGAAAGAAAAGATATGGAAGATTTGTTTAAGAAAGCTCAAAAACCTTGGGCAAAACTATTGGCCAAAGTGGAAAAGGCCAAGGCTGAATACCATGCTGCCTGCAAAACTGAAAAAAGTGCCACCAATCAAGAACGTAACGCCAACGCCGATACTTCATTATCACCCGATCAAGTAAATAACAAGGAACAATAATTTTTATATAAATTTCTATATTTTCTTTCGATTCTTTCAATTTTCCGTTTTCTTAAGGTTAAAAAAATGCACGATCGTGTACAAAAAACCAAGGATCACGTGCAAAAGTGCCGTGAGAAATATGAGCAGGCCATTGCTGAAATAACCAAATACAATTCCGTGTATATAGAAGATATGACATCGGTATTTGAAAAGTGCCAAACTATGGAAAAAACGCGTTTATTATTCTTCAAAGAAGTGCTATTCAATTTACACGCCTGCTTGGATTTAACAAAGGTGGAGAGGTAAATAATATAATAATAGTTTCCCTTTTCATTTCATTCCATTGAAATGGAAAATGTTAAAAGGCTTCTTACATCCTTACAGCTTACCGCAAATTTATGAAGAATTTTGTCATACCATCAATAATGCTGATCATCAAAAAGATTTGAAATGGTGGTCCAACAATCATGGCGTCAATATGGCTATGAATTGGCCAGCTTTTGTTGTATGTATATTTAAAAATGTGAAACGAACGCCAAAGTAACAGTATATATTTAGGAATACACTGAAGAATTCCGCGAAATAGCCAAGGGTAACAAATCGAAAGAAGCTTTGCCTGCAGCTCCGATAACATTAATTAATCAGCGGCCGGTTAATGAGGATTTACATGTATGTATACACACGTAATTTAAAATTATAATTAATAATACTTTCTCCTCTATTTCTTATAATATATAAAATTCCAGGAATATTCGGCTACAATGAGTTTGAAAAAATCTAATAATACTTCAACTATGAAATCAGCAAACAAACAGGATGCATCAGCTACCTCGCCAACCACAACGACGGCTAAATCAAATGCAACAACAAATCAACGCAATTCAGCTGTAGCGTAAGTATAGAAAAAGTCTAATATGCATATATGATTTTATAAGACATATGAAAGTGCTCAAATGTTCGCATCAAAGTGTTTACGTACACCGATGTATCTATTAAAAATATCATTACAATCTCAATTCTATCCACAAAAGAAGACTTGGCCTTCTTTTAGTTATTATATCCATTGTATCTGCATATGTTTTGAGTATATTATTACTTATGCACTCCAATAGGAGAGTATCTTTAAAAACGAGCTTCATTTAAATCAATACAGTTATGCCAATCATTAACGACTTTAATCACAGTGCTTTTTATAGGTGTCATAGGCTAAAGGTAACTTCCAGTTTCTTTGACGACTTTCATTTTCTTTTATAAAGTAATAATTTTATTTTCCAAAACAAAGAACGTCACGCATGATATGATGACATTAGTTTATTTTTAGGTTAGTTATTCTTGGCTGTCCCAAGTCCCATATCTCATATATTGATCAAAATTTCGAAAATCGATTTGAAAAATCATTCAATATTCTAAGTAACACCTGCCAAATTTAAATAGTGATTGTCCCGAACTAATGGCTTCAGTTTTTTGAGTAAATGTTGAAGCAACTTATAGTCCCGAACGTATCCTTACACTGGTCGGTGATCATTTTCAACAAATTTTAAAGCAAAATTTTTGCTCAATAATTTTTCTTTTATTATTACTTTGAATACTGGCAACATGAACAGCGGCTGTGATGATAATGAATTCATAGAAGGCCCTGCAAACAGTTGTTGTATAGTAATTAAATAACGATTAAGTAGATGAGTAGTTCAAGTTTATATGTATAGTGCTGTTTAGCACTCGTATTTTAAAATTTTATTATTAAATAATAATTGAGAGATTCGACGTAACCCTTCGGGTAGTAGTATCCTTTCGATTTCGCTGTTTCGATTTACTTTTACTTAATACTTTGTCCAGTTTAATTTCAAATGATTGCAATGGTATAAATTTTGTTGCATACTCTCAGCAATGGTACTGGAAAGGGTTCGTCAGGAGATCCTTTCGAAGAGGAAGAGGAATGGGATGAGGCTGATAATGTTCTGGTGGACAATGGAGAACCCGGTGTTCCCGTCAAAGCTTTGTACGACTACGACGGTGCCGAAAGTGACGAACTATCATTCAAGCAAGGTATCTATAGTTTAAATATATCTCTTTACACATGCTACAGTGAATTGATAAATGCAAAATGTGGATTTGTGGCTACAATTGAACGTTTTTGTTATCAGTTTCTGTTTTTGTACAACAAATTATTAAAAAAAAACTACAAAATTATGTTTAACTAAGGTCCTTAGGAAATATTTAAATCTAATTTTCGATCAGTGTCTGTTGTAAATAGATTCTAAGTTATAGTAAGTGCATTTATAGGCAAATCAAGGCCAATTGATTAACTAAAAAAAGTATAGATGACTGTTTTCATTGTAATGGAACTAAAAATCTTGCATCAAAAAAAGGCGTTTATGGCGCAAGGTAGACACAACACACAATGATTTTTATTATGTAAAATTATAGAGAATTATTGTATGAAATGAAATAAGCATCCTACAAATATAGTGTTAACGTTCTCAGCCGGTGGGTGTAAAAAAGTATTTCATCAATTCAGTGTGCAATGATGAATAATTGCCAATGAACTTGGCGTACATTAAATAATTTAATATAATTTCAGGTGATGTTTTTGAAAAATTGGAGGATGAAGATGAACAAGGCTGGTGCAAGGGCCGAATGAATGGTCGTGTCGGCCTATATCCCGCAAATTATGTGGAGATTATTGCCGCGTAAATTGCATACGTTCATATAGCTCTTCATACAGCAAGAATAAGAATACTTCTTGTGGAGAAAGCTAGAAAGAAAGGAAAAAAAAAAAAAAACAAAAACAAAACATACACAAGCTCTTTAGCATTTATTAAACTACATTTTGCACCTGGCGCATCTTTAGAACGTTGTTATTTCTATCATCACCAACGCGATCATTTTCATAAGTTATTCATTCTTTTTTTTTATTTTTTAATTTTTTTTTTATAAAGAACAAAAATGAAGCAATTAGCTTAACAGCTAATTTATAATTAAATTTCTTTTTCTACGCCTCTAGATCTACCCCTATTTTATCTTCGCTGTGTTGTAATCATTGACGATAAAAAAAAAAAAAAGAGAATCGAAGCGATTCAGCAAACTTTGAAGTATTTTGTTACAAAATAATTGAAATTAATATACGTGTATGTGTATAATAACAAGCCATCTATCTATTCCTTTATTAATATATTCATCTGTATTTTTCATTATGTCATTGACAAAACGAAATAATCGAATCATAATTGTTTGCGTGCGAATTTTTCTTTTTCTCTTTGCGCTGTTTTCTTTTTTTTTTCTCTCTTTTTTTATATAAAATTTCATTCACATACACGTACACTATACCACGAGAGAGATGAACCAAATTAAATATAAAAAAAAAAAAAAAAAAAAAAAAATAATAAAATATTAGGGAATTAATAAAGAATTATATATGTATATTTAACTGACCTTTTATGTATGTACTTTTTGTGTGTGTGAGAGCATTTAAAAATCTCAAACGCGCACACACCGAATTATATCTCAAATGCATAAATGCAAAAAAATAAGCAATATTTGCAGTAAATTTATAAATCATTAGATGTTTGAAAAATTTATCATATACAAGTCGTGTTAAAGTACATGCCGGCAACAATAAAAAACCATCAATCAGCATATGCAGAGTGAAATTTAACAAGAAACCCAATTAATAATTTGTTCCCTTCTATTTTTCTAAAAGAAAACCATTCAAATAACTTTTTTTTGTTTAGTTTTTATGAAAGCGAAAATTAATGTTTTTTACTAGTGTTTACTTATAACTGTAATTTATTTAAAAAAATGTTATATTTACACACACACACACACAACTACATATATAAAATATAATTATTATAATTATAAAATATACAACACACTTATATACACGAATACGTTTTGTCAAAGAGAAAATACGAAAATGAAAAAAAAAACAAACAAAAAACAAAACATAAAAAAAAAACAAAAACAAAAAAAAAAGAACCGAAGAAAAATATTAAGCATCATTAAGTCTGGATGAAAGACGGAAAATAAAATTTTCCATTTACTCAAGAAGAAAGATCAAGCGTTCATCTCATTGAAGAATAACTCTCAATTATTATATAATACATACATGAATTTTGTTGCTTCTCATATTCACCGCAACACATAAGCATCAGATTTTGTCAAATATTTGTAGCGCACAAAACCATCGGGCATCGGAATCGCCATAAACATGCATGTTTGCACTCCTCACTAATACGAATAGCAAAGTTAATTTCGCCATTTCGCGTTTGGATGTTTTCAGCATTTGATCACTTCAGTGGCGGACTGAATTGATTCCCAATGATGTCTACTTAAGAGCATTCACGACCAAGCAGCACTTACGGCTGAATTCCAATTAAATTATGGAGTTTTTTTCATCGCACCCCCGCACAATTAATAAATATTTCCGGATATTTATACCCTACACCACTTCTGGTACAGCGTATATTGAGTTAGTGCGGGCGCATGTAACACGTAGAAGGGCTTAAAATAGATCCACCTTTTGTTATACCAATTGATCCGGAATCGTAGTCTGAATTGGTCTAAGCCTATCTGTCTGATATCTGTCCATTTAGATTTGTGTTCAAGCTACAGGTCGCAATTTTTGTAATATTTTGATGAAATTCGGTAAAGTGACGTGTTTTATTCGGATCGCTCCACTTTTTCAACCACTCCCCATATAAGTCGAGCTATTCTGAAAAGTCGTTATATGGAAAAAAAATTGCAAATTTTCAAAATTTCACCGCAAAAGTAGCTATGTAGTAGTATTTGGGAATTCTAAATGTCTATGCGAACTTTGGGACGGCTGGGGCTATTTTTGAATCCCGTCACATAACGAAAACAGGAGTTCATATGACAAAGAGGTATAATTTTCAATGCTTCGTGACGAAAATTATATTATAATTAGCAATTTAATATAAGAAAATTAACTGTATCAAATTTGGAACATCTCGGCCTATTTTGTGCATTCTACCATAGTAAGGATTTTCACAAAAACTGATAAACTCTAACTTTTCATTTGTAGTGATGAAAATTGACCCATAATAGTAATTTCATACAAAAACCAGAATTGTGTTAGACACTGCGGTGTAGGGCATTCAAAGATCGGTCTTGTCCGACTATAATGTTTTTACTTGTTTTTTGCAGACTGAATTTGCGTTTCTTGTATTTTATATTACACTTCGGATGTTACTCTACGCATTTATTATAAGCGTTATTTTAGGTGGTTTTCTTCAGGGCGCCATGGCGACAAGAAATTTTGGTAATTGACCGAGTAAATTGAAATCGCCCACAATTGCATAAATATATCGTCCAAGTGGGCGGAATGCTTATGAATTGTTAATGATAAAATTCATTTCCTACTTTCATGAAAGTGGTCACATTTTTTTACTTCCTAACTCGTTTTAATCGCAACGGTTTCTGGAATCCTTCGTAGACACAATGATTACCAAATTTAACTTATTTATTATTTATTATTCTCATTGGAACCATATACATAAATAAGCTGAAAGCTCATAAGGAAAATATATGACGGCATATGGATCATATTTCCGGAAAAATTGCAGGGAAAAAAATTTTTATAAATTTTCCGGTTGTCAATGGACTATCCTTGCAAATTATAAAGCAAAATCGAGAAGAAATAATTTTTCTCTACATCGTTATACCCATCACCAAAGGATAAAGAGTATACTAATTTGATTAAAGCGTTTGCCACACCTAGAAGGAGGCTTCAGAGACCGCATAAATAGTATATATTCTTGGTCACATTCAAATTCTAAAAACGATTTAAACATGTCCGCCTGCGTAGTCTCTGTGATATACATTGTGCTTATCGCAAAAGAGGCAGCAGTCGACTTCAAATTTGGTAGGAGCATTGCAAATTCTTGCATGCAAGTTGATGTTGAAAATGGGCCAACAAAGATCATGGATTGGTGCTTGCGAAGATTTTTCGAGGGATGCTTGCACATTGACATACCATGTGGAAAGTTGTATGGAAGCTGGTATGTTCAATCCCATTTTGAAGGGAGCAGGTTAATCTTTACGTGAGGCCTAATTACTGGGTGCGAGCCTTCGGTGAATAGTTGTGGTGGCTGTGGTAATCCCCAAATACATCAAATAATTATAGGTGCGTGATAGATTCCGCCTTGCCCACACGGGAGGGCTTGGACTATGCCTAAACTTTTCTGCAGGATTACCTTGCAAGGCTGAGGGATGTCCGATTCAAGTACATTAATTGCCAATGGCTCTAGGGAACTCGTCTGATTAAGGCTGCAGATGTTAAATATCGATGTATAATCTGTAACTAAGAACACCTCGGTTTTCCAAAAGGGGAAAAAATGCTCGAAAACCTATAAAAATGTGAACGGACATTTTATGGTTGATGCTATAGCATTTACACAAAAATCGATCACGCCTACGCAATATTATAGTGCATCAAAACTTTTTGTTTGAAAATAAACATCGTCTGCAAATTCGCGAAAGAATTTGAAAATTACCTAATTTGGTAGAAGGTCACGCTTACAACACCCATACGCCTGCGAATCCCTTTGCTTTCCGCGCTTTTTGCTTGCTGCTCATAAAATACAACACATACACGACATAAGCTTCTACTTTTATTCTAAAAGTCAGTCGCACCCCTTCAATATTATAGACTGTAGCTTTTTATTTTAGTATTTTTTTTTTTTTTAGGATAACAGCGATGGGATAAAAAAGATTCAATTACGGACGAATATAATATTGTTACGTGTCCATATGTACTAATTCCGCTAATAACCCTAGGCATAACATTTTTGAGAGATGACACTGGAAAAGAACATGACTGACTTGTCAACTAATATATTTATGTATTTGCTTATAAGCTAAAATATTTCTACCGCTCCAGTTATCTTAGCTTTATTGGACATTTAGTATAATATATAAATTTTTCTACATTTAAAACTCATGCTTTGCTGCCTACTTTCAGGCTGACATGAAGACCTAGCGTTAACGGCAATAGGCTCTTTATAAGTTAAGGTATATATCTGAGACGTTACGACTTTATCATTCCTGCTTAAAATCAATGGTCAGCACAAAATATTCCCATGTACTGGTCTAATTAATTCGATAATAGTTTACATAAGCTTTGACTTCGGTGGTGAACGGTGAAGTACTTGCGTGAAATATGTGATTGAGAAGAACCTGTCCTGTAGCATCTACCACGGCACAAGCAGGAGGCAGGTTAAAAGATTTTGAGCCGTCTGTGTACAAAAGACTCCAACCAGTATTCTCCAATACTTGGGTTTTTTCTGCTATTAGATTCCTGAAGATGTAATTTGGAGTATCTTCTTTTTTGTGCATAGACAGCGAGAGCAGTCAAAAGAGCAGTCTTTCAAAATCCATGGAGGTTTAACACCAAAAGAGCAGATAATTTTTAAGGGAATATTCAATTCCTTTGCGACGTACAAACAATGGTCAATTGCGGATGGTGACTTTGGAATTTTCTTCGCAATAGTAATCTTTCTCACGTCATCACCGAGAATAGATTTGTTTGAACTAAGAAGCTTGGGGACTATTTTAGCTTTTAACTCATACAGTCTATTTTCTAAAGCTGGGAGACCAGTTTCAATTATAATACTATTTATGGGCGTCGTCCGAACAGCATAAAAACTTGCTCTGACGGCTTGGTGATAGACCGGTTTAAGGATGTTGATATTAGATGTGCAGCTATTGCCATAAATTATCAAAACATAGTCAGTCTTGCTTAACACAAGCATTTTGATAAGATAAGCAATAGTGTTAATATGCGCATGGCTTGTCCAAGCAACGTTCTGTATGAAATTCAACCTTGTTAAAATAGAATTTTTCAACCGAAGACAGTGTGCTTTCCAACGATAATTGTTGGAAAACGTGAGCCCGAGAATATGCAGCGTCTGCACGTTTAGTACTGGTAAGCCATTCATATGCATCAGTAGATTTCCTGCATCGCAAATCTGCTTTCGACAAATGTGCATTTTTTTAGATTTTTGTATGGAAATTTTAGCCCCTGACGAATTTGCCCATGCGGAGATATCTCGTCCAATAGATTCGAGAATGTTGATTGCTTTCGTGTTGTCTTTTTCCTTTGTAATAATGTATACATCGTCCGCATAGAGGCAATGCTAAAAAAATAAAAACATTATTTCAGTAGACAAGAAAATTAAATAACTTCAACAACTCAAAAAACATCGCGTCATTAAAATTGATTTTTTTTTCAACTAAGGAAGGATACGAAGAAAAAAAGCTGCATATTATTAAAAATTAATGTTTGGTAGGGTATACTTTGTCATTTAAGTGTTTTGACATATTCTGTGTAATTTTTTATTGTGTAGGAAACAGAAATCTTACTCCATTCTTCTTATAGTCTATTTTTCAGATCTTGGGCGGAAGAGATTGAGTGCTTTCGCACAGCTATTGTCCAATTCATCCCACATATTTTTGATAGGGTTGATGCCTGGTGATTGGGGAAGCGGGTGAAGCACTTTGAAGCACTTACATAAGAGCCATTTTTTGAAGTAAATGCAACTTGACTTGGGTTTGAGGCCGTTGTCTTCGTAGAATTTCAAGTCTGTCTGCAATTGCTTCCATACTTTCCCTCAATAGCCTTAATAAGAAAATTCTACCATATTATCGCGTTAATTCTGACCTATGTTGCGGTTATGTTGTGTGATGTGTACATGAGTATGTTGGACGTTGGGTACATTGTATAGCTATACCTAACATATTTAGAAATTTACACTTAGAATGCTGTTACATGTCTTTAATAGATCATTGCCAGACATCTTCTTCTTCTATTCAGCAAATCAATACACACAACGAAGTGCTGGGTATCGAAATTTTCGGACTAAATCGGTCATAATTTTTTGCTTGTCCTCTGTTTATTGCAACCGTTGCAAATACTTGCTTTTGAAAGCCCATAGAAACATAAGAATAAATGATCTGACCGAGGTATTAAATAGATTCTGCTATGGCCGTCTGTTGTGGTTTATTGGAAAACTTTACGTCATAAAATTCAAATAAAAAAATGTGAAGCCTTAGTTATTAGTTATCGATAAGGGCGCTATTGATGCGCAAACGCCCTTTATTAAAAATTTATTACCTACGAGCTATAACAAATATTGAGGTAAACCGTATGACAAGCATTTCCCACATTCTTATAAACAGTCATTCGAGAAACGCGGATAATTCGCCAACTGAGACCACTTACAATGAACAAAATTATTTTTAATTTTAACAGTCACAAAAAAGATAAACTTTTTTTTTTTTTTATTATAGTTTATTTAGACCAGAGATATAAAAGTAGAATGGGCACTAGCAACTAATATTATCGGTTCTTCTTCCTTCTTTTTTTTTTGTTTTTTTTTTTTGGATAGATTAGAGAGTTAGTTTAGCCGCTTTATTAATACCTAGTGTTCTCCAGGTATTTTCAAGATGTCCATAAGGTTAGATACTCTGAAAACTAATCGTTGAATATTAAAAAGATTGGTCACCAGGCTTGATACCCCATAAGGTTAGATACTTGGAAAACTAATCGTTGAATATTAAAAACGTTGGTCACAGGAGTAGATTTGTCTTGGATCCATTGATATGTTGCAATAGTAGTGCCCAAGTCGGATATTTGCAAATGTTTTGATCTTGATTTTCCCGAAGTGGAATGCGGTCACGATTAACATGCTCTGGTCATTAATTCAAAACATTTTCGTTAAACAAAGATTTCAAATAATAATAAAAAGTTTCTACAAACAGGAAAGAAGCAGCTTTAATCGATTCCGATGTACTTATCAGAAATATGTACACCTTATGTGCATTTCTGATATGTATTTTTATACGCTCGATGAGACCTTATTACCCACAATTGCGATTATAAAAAGAATTAGCTTTTTGCTTATACCTAGGGTATGTACATTCAATGCCAATCATATTCCATGTAAAATTAAAAAAAAAAAACAAAAAAATTAAATAATCAAACCTTACTTACCTTTTACATTAATCATTGTCGAGCAGATGGAAGGGAATAGCTTTTTCCGTCAAATGAACTGAATATTGGCTACAAAGAATTGTAAAAGAAATCATTATAAAGTAATTATTGTTTAAAAATATCACCGTACCTTTATGACCATTAATAACAAGCATAACGTTATAGTTGAAAAAAGTACACACATATATATTTTTTTTTTTTTTTTTATCATAACAGATTACGGATAATTCGGCTGCTTTTATTGAAATGAAGGTCAACCAGCCCAAAAGCACATAAGCAGTGATTATATGTATACACAAATATAGGGTTTTTTTTTTTTGTTAACACTCCTAACATATGCGTATGGCCTCTAAGTTTCAGTTACAAGAAAATTTGACTATAAAAACGTAGGCAATGTGACTGAGATGCATCAGTATATTCTGGAATTTCAAATAAATCAGGTTAAGGCACAAATCATACAACAAAATGTTTAAAACGGTAAACTATTTTAACATTTTTGGAAATTGAAATTTATTTTAAAATGATAGAAAAACAAAAAACAAAATAAAATTTCTTATATTTTCAGATTAAATTGTTAATGATCCTTGGCATTGCTTCTGTTAATGCCGGCCTTCTTGAAACTCATCATGTCGTCCACGAACCGGTTTTGACTAAAGTTGGATCAGTTGTTCAGAGTGTGCCTTCCGCCGTATCGCATCAAAGTTTTACCCGCATTCATAATCGAGCTGAAGTCTCTCATATAGTTGCTCCTGCAGTTCGGACTACGGTTCTTACATCGCCCAGCTTAGTTAACTCAGTAGAAACGGTACCCGTTGTCAAAACAATTGAGCATGTGGTGCCGGCCGTTAAAACTGTTGATATTGAACAACCTCATGCCACGCTACCAGTTGTCCATACTGCTCCATTTATTAAATCTCTTATTCCAGTAACTACTTACGCTCTCCACCATTAGGACACTTTTAAACGAAAAGTATTATATAATTTTGCATTTAATTTTTTTTTTTTTATTCTTAAAATATTAATAAAATTTTCATTGAAAAATTTAAATTGCATGCCTTTCAAGCATTGTTATAAGCGCTTTTGCGTTTTTTCACTTATCCCAGCAAAATAATGCAAAAATAGCGTAAGTAACAATTTTATATAGAAATAAGCAAAAATCTAGTAAAGTATCAGTAGTGTAGCCTAGGGTCTAAAGATATTCATACGGAAAGCTTGACAATTAGTTCGACATACAATTTTTGGGTCAGACTACTTGAAGACCATAAGTGATGTACATAGGCAAAATAGACATATAACAATACAAAGAACATTTTTTTAACTCTCCATAATACGCTTCAACGCCTTAATCCACAAGTTTCGAGTCCACTAGTAATAGCATAGTTAGACTGTCAGTTATTAATATTGTTACAATTATTATTATTATTATTATAAATTTAGGCAGAGAATAAATTCTAAGACTAAAGTCTTAAAGCACTAGCATCTAAGACTTTAGGCTTTCAGTAAATAATATATCGCTGATTGAGTAAAAATTTGGAAATATTAATAATCTTTGAGATTCATGTCTTGAAGCTGAACTTCAAAATGCAGAGAAAATTTTCGTATATCTTATCCTTTTGCGCACAAATTATTGTAGAAAATCTCAGCTTTAATAAAAATTATTATTTATTGACTTGGATAAGTAAAGAGAAAGCAGTGATCATTCACTTTTGGCAACAATGGAATGCCCCAAAAGAATGCAGACGGACAGACATGGCATCATCGATTCAGAATTTCACGCTAATCAAGAATATACATAATTCATAGGGTCTCTGAGGCTTCCTATTGGGCGTTGCAAACGCTACATATATTATGGGAAAAAACAAAGAGAGTATACCACCATCCTGCAGGGGTGAGCATAAAAATAATAGACTCGGAAAAGCGCTAAAGATTACTTGCCTACGAAAGGTTATGGCGACTGTTTTCTTGTAAGATAGAGCTGCCTTGGAGTTGTCCTATTTGATTGCCTTGAAACAGGGTAAACCAGTTAAAAAGAACTTGTTTCGCAAAGACATTGTACTGTAACTTACTTCGTAGCGGGGGCAAGTATTTGCGAATTCCGTTAAGAACTGCTTGACCTGCTGCCTTCTTATTCGTCTGATCCAGCTTCTTGTGACTTTCTTTCTTCCCTAGACTAAAAGTTGCATTTAAAGAGTGATCAATAGGAAGAAAAACGATTTTATTTTATTATATACCGTGAAGGGGTAATATTACAATACTACACTACTACTAATTAAAATCGAGTCATTTTTTAAAATTTATAAAATCAAAATTTAAACATTTTTTTAACGTTTGGCCTTAAGGCCAAAGTGGAAAATTTTTTAAAAGCCAAACGGAGACAATGCAGTTCTCGCAAAGCGCAAGTTTTTTTATTGCCCTTGAAAAATTACGTTAAACACAGTAAATGTTGTGATTGACTTTAAAGATTTGAAACTGCGCTTAGAATCGCTCGCTCGCAAGAGGGCGACGTTTTCAAGTTTCAATTTTGAAAATATATCTTTTTTTTTTTTTTTGTATCCAAACGGCATCACCTGCACCATATAATTAATTGGTTTAATGGCTTTTAACATTTGTGAAACGGCAAAATTGCGTTTAATATATCTTTCATCTTCACTTGTTACTTATACCTACCAAGTTAGTAGCTGTAGCAGTAGTACACTTAAAATACCTTTACCGAATCTCTTCCGATTACGTTCGGAATATTTATTGACTCTTTGGAATATTTAAAATTTCATTTATGATAACATTTTTATACCATTTCTGGATACTTAAGGAAATATTGAAGTTAATAAAACAAAAAAGAAACACGAAAAAGAAATCATCTTTTAATCGGGTTTTATTGCATTACACTTGACGACTATTCCTTTTACATGCGAAATCAAAGATAAGTTTTTTGCTTACGCACCAATGCAATTAACTTGTTTTACTGGCTGTAATTAGAAATAGCTTTCATATTGTACGTATATATAATTATATATATATATATATATGTTTAATAAATATGAAAAAAAAAAAAAAAAATTAACTTTTATTTACAAGAATACATTAAACCTCTTAAACTTAACAAACAAATGTTCATAGTTAAGCTTTCATAAGGCGAAGTGTATGGATATATTTAAATATACATTATTGCATATTATTCTAAAATCACACTCTATTGCGATTTATAAACCGGTCTTATGTCTAAGTATTCCAAACTCTCTTTAACTTTTTCAGTATGGTGAACAGTGTGATTGAGATTTAATGGCGCCACATAGCCCAGAGCGCGACCACGAGGTGAAATCACTAAGTGAGCATAAGACTGGGCAGAGCCTTGATATGATACAACAGATGGTGCAGCATCAATTGCCAAAACTTTTGTATCTGCTGGATGACCAAACACTAGCGAACACAATACAACGTAACACGACAATACAAGCAATGATTTCTATGACGATAATAGGCAGGCAGGTAGGCAGGTAGGCAGGCAGGCAAGCAGGCAGGCAGGCAGGCAGGCACAATTTCGTTATGTAAACAATAGTTTTTAATGATGATTGATTAGGAAGAATTTAAGGTGGAACACCTAACTTACAATTCTCATGTTGACGACTGTAAAGAGCTTAAAAGACTGACTAATAACCGCAGACTGACAAATAAAAAAAGTTTACGATACTCGAAAGTGAACTATTAACTGTATGACTTGATTGGCTTAAGAGTTGAACTGACTGTGATTTACTTTTTTTAACAGATTTTTTTTTTTAAGTTTCAAATAGAAGAAAAAATTTATAAAAGGTGTGTATATGTGTTTGTGTATGTTTATATGTATATGAGTATATGCACCATTGCAAAGATTTACGTAAAGTATTAATGCGGCTGAGCTGAGAAATTGAAAATAATAACAACAACAACAGTAACAACAACAACAGTAACAACAACAACAAATGAAAACAATAACAAATTATTAAAACATTATTTTCATAAGAAAAAAAAATTAAGTAGAAATAAGTCAAAAAGAAGTGAAGGTTGTAAGAAACACACAGACAATAAAATATACCTTAGAGCAGTGTTATTCAAAGTACTGCACCGTTAAAGAGATACCTACGCTTATGCTAGAATGTCTTGTAAAACATTTACTAAGCATCAAATTACTTACGTAGATTACTCGGCAATTTTTCGACAACGACAACAACAACAACAACAACAACAACAACAAAAACCATAGCCATGACGGATAAGGCGAATATAACTCACTCCTCCATTCGAATGAATACATAAGCGCGTGACTAGTGAATGGATTGTGACAATCGTTAATATAAGCTCTCGTAAACCCTTTCGCGATGCTGACGTAAGGCTTCATTTCTTTATTGTTCCTTTTCAGTGAGGAAAAAAGCTTTTGTGGATTTATTAGGTACGAATATGTCTCTCGTCCGGAATTCAAACTCTCCAAATGCTAGATGCTATGAATGAAATGGAAAACTTGACTTCTTCGAGAAATGAAGCTTTAAAATTATTTGTTTGGCCGAGAACAAGCCAAGGTAGGTAAGTAAAAAATTCAAACCTTAATCCTTAACAGTAATAAATGTTTTATATGAAAAGTGATTTCTATTCGTCTAATCTCGTTCCCCTGATTAAGATTTCTTTTCAACACTTAATCTTAATTTTATTGATTTATTTTTATTTTTATTTTTTTTTTTTGTTTAACTCATTCATTTTTCTTTATGATATTCGTCACAGACAAAGAAATGAATTTTTAGAATCTTACGCTTATCGAAAGCGTAGATGTATGAAAAATTGAAAGCACGCTTTGATTTTAGCCCGCGATCGTAAAAGATTGTGTATGACTGTGTTAGACGGCAAAGCATATTTTAGTAAAAGAAAATGAAATAAAAATATTTTATATTCGCCTTGAGTCGAATCTTTAGCATCACTACTACTATATGATGCCAGAACGTTTTATTCATTATGGATTTATTGATGAACGATACTAAGCATTAATTGAAATTTTAATATTAGTAGTAAAACGTATTCGTAATTTTTTTTATATTATTCTTACTTTTCATTTAATTATAGATATTCAGTAATTTGTTTGAATTTTGATCGATACATTTTTTGATCAATTACTTTAAACGCATATGCATTAGAAAATATTCAGTTGTACTTAGCTTTCGAAAGCAGGCAGTGTTTCTTTAAGAGCATCAGTGCTGACAGTTCGATGCATAGACAGATTGTTATAGCTAAATCGATCCAATGTCTAACGTTAAGCGAAAATTCACATGCACTTTAAAACGTGTTTGTTTACTGATATTTACTTCTAGGCGTTACAAGATGAATGACTAATTCATTTACTACCATTTCCTAGTGGTGGGTATAAGAAAAACTCGTAATATGTATGTAAGATTGAGTTATGAATAAACAGCAAATATGTAATATAGCAGACAGACGGAAATATCTTGCGTTTACATTTAAAAAAGCCACACAAGAGTACATTTCGGCTATACGTAGACTACAAAATTTGAAGATTAAATATAAATTAACTGCTTTGTGAATGGATGGATGGATGGATGGATGGATGGATGGATGGATATTCGTATAGCAAATTGTTTAATTATGCCGAAAATATGTGCTTATGGAAATGTTTCATTACGAAATGACATAATTCCATAGTGACATTTAGATTAAATATCAAAATCCAGACGGGCATGAAAACCGACACCGACACGATTTTCTAGTGTATATGAATAGTCAAATTATCGTTAAGAATAAAACTGAACTTATTTGTAAAAGTTATCTGCAAACAAAAAAAAAAAAAAATTAAATCAATTTTTAACATTTTCTACAACATATTAAAAGTTTTGCTTCCTATTGACATTTCGAAACCTGGGCGAAAAGCATTGTGGGTAGATAGATAGATAATAAGGTGCTTTGAGATTTTAAATAACAAAAAAAAAAAAAAAAAAATGTAGAAAATAATTGAATATCTGAAAGAGATTTTTCCCTGAAAATCCTCCTGCATGCGTCAAACGAATTCCTTCGAAGAAGTAACCGTGTTAGGTATTGATTTCTAACCAGTCTAATAATACGCTAACTTATTCTAACTGTATTCAGAAAGTAATGTTTATACTGTTCTAAAAGCTTTGTCAAGATAATCGTTGAATTGGTATGAGATCGAGAGTCGATTCGAAAGTAGGCAAAGCGGTACTTCGGTCAAAGAGTTAAAAAATGTCTAATGAAGTTTTTATAATAATAATTACGATTTCGGCTGAAGAATTACAAAATTGTCTTCGCCATCACATTCGGGCATGCTTTGGACAGATGCCATTAAATGGGATCTCCTCAAAAATAAAAAAAAAAAAACTTCAAGCAAAGCGAATGAAGAAAGCTATTTAAATATGGTAGGGGAGTTTTATAATCTTCGATTTATACAAATAATTAATAAAATGTACTGCAACAAAGAAACAACTATACAACAACAACTATAAAAAATCTTAACTTGAAACTTTCAAACACTTTATCAAAAAGTGATTTTTTAAAACGACCGACGCTCTAAATTTGCCTGACAGTAATGAAGCAAATTCTTCGGGTAAACAATCAAAATAAAAGTAAAACAGATAAGAAGGCCGGCGGTTAGATACCCTAAATCATTTCGCCTAGTATAGTAGTTCACTCGCTTTGATAATAATACACCAAAACTTGCGCATTATTTCCATGCATAGAGGCATAATTTTCATGAAAGCCAGCATCTTGAAGGATGCCAAAAACATCAATCACATGACGTCATTCAAATTTAGTAAACTTCATTTATTTGTTAAAAGTTTTCTTATATCTCACTTTCCGTCATACTAAAACTAAAAACATATACGGCCTTGCTTTCCTCTATATATACTAGGGTCTAAAAAATAGACCGACGTGAATTTTTTATTTTTTTTTTGCTTCCCAATTTTCACTATAAAATATGAAAAATTACACCTGATTCCTGATGGACATCTTATTTATAAGAAATTTTATATGGAATGGAGTCCAAGAAATAGACCTATATGGTACAAATTTGATTCACTTAATTTTTATGTCAAATTACTACGATCAATAAATTTTCATCATAAAACATTAACAATTAGGTCATTTTGGCATATAAGGTTTTCGCATTTCCCGAGAACCCTTATATGCTGCGATATCGAAAAAATAGTCCTACATGGTCCAAATTCGATAAGGTTGATTTCTTTGTCATATTACTATTATGAAGGTATTTTCACCATAAAATATTGAAAATCAGATTTCTTTTTTATCATATAAATAAACAGTTTTCGTGGGAACAGTTATATAAGGGAATTTAAAAAGTTAACCCAGCCCAACGAAATTTTTCATAACAATTTAGTACTATTAGTTAGCGACTTTTGTCGAAAATTTTTAAAAATTTCATTTATATGTCCATGTAATGACCGCTATATATGGAGAGTTGTCGAAAACGTGCACCGATCCAATCCATTTTCAATTGCGTTTGTCTTTGGGCGAAAGCATGCTAGTGTACCAGATTCTATTAAAATATCTGAAAAATTACGACGACCTTTCGATTAAACACAACGAAACATGGACAGACGGACAGACAAGCTTAGATATAATAAAAGGTGAGTCTATTTTAAGCTCTTCTAACTTAACTTTTACTCTGTTTCAGAGTTGTTTTGTAGGGTATAAATACATTCGAATTAATGAAAAAAACTTTGCTTTTTTTTTTATGAAAGTTTGCATAGTAAAACTAAAAAAAAAAAATAAAAAAGAGAAATATTCTTTTCAATCTTGTTCCATTTATTTTGTTTGCAAGTAGCAAAAGCACACCTTAAAGAGTAACTAAAACCTGCTGTACGCTGTCGGTGCGCGAGTTGCTACTGCAGTTTGGGAAGATAATAAAATGATATAAAACTTATTTCGATGTAGTAAATCTTAATAATAAAGCTAAAAGAGCTTTAGGATAAATAATATTTAAAATTTTTCTCAAGGCCATTACAGATTTCTTTCCCGAAGCTTTCAACATAATTTCATTCTCGTCCGGGATATTTGAAAAGTTTTTTCCAAACGATTAACAAAAATCACAATTGAAAATTCAAAAAAAAAAGCAACAACTTTTATTCGCATCTTTTGCTTTATCTCGCAAAGGTTAATGTAAAAAAAAATAAATAAATAAATGAAAGCAACAACGATAACATTATCGCAAAACCACAACATATCTAAACAAATGCTATTGAATGATGTGATTATCACTAGGATCGCTTTTTCTATACTAAACGTTTTATTTTGCTTTGTTAAATGCTTTTATCAAATTTCAAACTTCTCCCATAGGGTGAATCTTGTCGATCGTAATATCCTGTAGTCATTTTTTTTTTTTTTTTTTTTTTGGATGAGCGAAACTGCCTGATTTAAATAATTTATATAGAAATACATGTTCATCTCTTTATCTCAGGCTCAAAGACTAACGTGGCTAAATCGATTTAAAATTTTCAACTTATGCACAATGAATATACCATCCATACCATAGAACCATCGCTTACATGTAACGATATGAGAAAACTAATTTTTCAATTTGGAGATACAACAAAAAGGTGTATAGGGTGTCCAAAAGTTTACGCAAGATTTGAATTTCCCGGCATTAGTGCGGTAAAATGTTGGCAAACTCAAAAAAAAAAAAAAGAAGAAAAACAGCGATTGACAGCTGATAGCTTAGGGTTAGTAAAAATGGAGCATCACATGAGAGGAAAAATAATGAAAGTTTGGCGATCGCAGCTCGCAAATGTACCACAAAATACAGTCGAAATATTGATTTAAGTTATGTGATTTAACTGCATTGTTAAGGGACTATGCCAACAAGTCTGCACCCACCACCCGTACATTGACGGAGGAGATTCAACGCTGCATCTATGAAATTGAGTTATGGCTATGGAAAATTTCGGTTTGTGTCGGCAAAGCCCTGGTATCCATTTGCCCGATATACTATTCCACGCACACAACCTTATCCTATGTACATTATGATGTAAGAAAAAAATTAAAATTGAAAGAAATATAACTCGGTTTTCTATTTAGTTCAAATCTTGCATAGACTTCGGGTCACCATTTATACATTTTTTTGTACTTCCACTGCTTATATTTCCATTTGAGCTTATCTTCTAATAAGAACCTTCATCCTTTACATAGGTGAACATGAGTAGTTCTTTTCTTCGCTCTAAAATGTATAGAGGAAAGGAAAGTCTGGCATTATTGTGTTTTTGATCTGAATTTTTATATACGTTATATATATGGATAAAATTATTTTCTTACTTGGCTCAGGCATCTTCGCTTGTCTATTTAGGAACTATAATATCAATGGATGTTTAATTTATATTAAAATGATTGCAGATAAGCACTAGCCATAAAAGGTCAGCCACTTCGAATGTATATAGAGAACATTCATACAATATTCGATTTTATTTATGTATGTAATTTAATTATAGATTTATATTCAATTAAATTTATTACTTATTTCATTATATTATATATTGGCTACAAAAAATTGCCACTTAAAATATCATAAATAAAAGTTGGCGTTCCCTGGAATCTCACTGCATTTTAACCATTTTATAAATAATTCATTCTTAAGAAGGCATGCATTCAAATTATATAATGAGTATTTTGTTGATTTATGTAAATTGGAAAAGGTAGATACTTTAACTTTTCTACTTTAAGTTCCCTACGCAACAAAGGACTTTGCGTATAGACCTTTTTGGTGGTCAAAGCCAGGAGAGTTTTAGAGTTTATTATACGCTGGTCTAACGAAATATTATGTTGAGAACACCGTATAACGTTCCGTGTGGTCGCGTTCGCGTACCGGTGTTCTCCTGAATTAAGAGGAGCAGGAATATTTGGACGGAACAGATGATCTCCACTTCTAGGAATTTCAGTTGCGATCGACTCGCCCTTTTGACATCTGATGACTACATTTAGGAACATAAGATTAACCTGGTTGTCTCTTTCTCGAACACTTAATTTATTAATTGATTAATTATTGACCCCGTCGGTTTTCCTAGAAGGTATCAATTTGAATATTACGAATTATGCACCGGGAAAATGTCTTTACATAAAACTCGGCCAATGGTATTTGAGATATTCTACGATAATCTCTAATTTAGTCTCAATATCGAATTCGCTAAATAGCAGCAAAACATAATAATAGCTTTTCATCTTGAGCGCTTCATATGATTCACTAATTGAACTTGATCTGTATGCTGCACTCCTACCTTTGGACCCGTACCGGCTTCAGATTGTGTCTCTCTCTACTAAGTACTTGTTATTTTTCTCTTCTTCCTTTCTCCCACTTGTTCTGCATTTTTTTTCTTTCCATTTTCACCTTTATTTTTATACTTTATAAATGCTAAGCCATAGTGTTTAGCATAAGATTTACTTTCAAAAATCGACTTTTATTTTATTGAAGCTGCATTTTATGTGTCTTCAGTAAGTAGAATAAATTATAATAAAAAATAGTATAATACATTTTTCTTTTCCTACAAACAACCTCACACACACACACACACACACACACACACACACACATAAATCCACGCATATACACACCTCAGTGTAAATAATATATTATAAATGTAGTTAAATTTGTATACTTATATATGTGTTGTCAACTATTCTCAATTACAATGAATAAAAGTCATTCAAATGAAAAGTTTTCACTAATCAGGTGTACAGAGATTAAGAAAATCTGATTAAATTACAAAAATGTTAGACAGAATTTTTTCATGAATATTTTCACTTGATTTACTTGATTGAATATATATGTACGAGTGTTTTCTAACCTACGGACGATGATAACAATTATGGGATAAAGGGTAAAGAGAACACGTTTGGACACGAATGCAAGAATGTATATCGATTTTGAGAACATATCTTTTAATACACAGTCATGCATCTTTGTGTGCTTAACAAACGAAGAAAATGCTAAGAATAAATTCCAAAAATTTCCACATGAGATAATGAAGCCAAGCATTTAAGAAAAGTCTATTTGAGAGCTTCGTCTTGCATGAACAACACCCATTAGTATGAGTAAAAATGTATAGTTAGTTGTTAACTGCTGGAACTTGCGTACGTTACCGATACATGTTATGAAATGTAATCTCTGGAAATAAGTACATAAGTTTATAATAGATCAAGAGGAAAAATTCATGACATATTCTCAGCAAATACTTTTCCTTTGAAAAAACTTTATTATAACATATACTCACTCGTACATACTACGCTACCTCGACCGATAACATTTCGATACTTAAGACTTTCTCGAATTTCTGAACGGAAAATCGAATCGAGCGACTTTCGAGCGGGAGATCTTCTTCCAAGTCGCCCAAGCTTCGCATTTTATAGCGAATATATATCAAAACTTTCGAACCAAGCTCTCTCTCCATTTTTATGGAAACGTTAAAAGCGTGTAGGTGTAGGCTGACATTGTCATGATCAAAAACGGCGTCTTTCCTACTGATCAATTCTAGAAGGTTTACCTCTACGGCGCGCTTTAATCGCGTAAGAATCGCTGTAGAAGCTAAAGGACAAGCTCAATCTTTTGCTCAGATTACAGGACTACATAATGTACAATTCATCTCTAAACTGAGCTTTGTCCCTCTTTGTGCACATCCAACATATTTTACACGATGATCCCTTTTCCGCGCTATTGCCTAAGTTATCGATCTCTTCGTTTTGTACAAACAGAAATTCACAGCTGAAAATTCGGTCCAGTGAATTTATTATGGTGCGGGGTGCGTCCTTCATTCTTTTAGAAAATGTCAACAAGTTTTTCAACAATTGTGCGATCGGAACACGACATGTTTTCACAGTCGAAACGTCCAGGGTGGAAATGAGCATCTTGACCATAAACATCAGGAATTTTATCATAAGCTTGTTAAGACTAAATGGGTTACTTAATGTGATATTGTAAACTAGAACGCTTTCTTTCGAAATTTAATTCGTATTGAAAACACAATTACTTTTATGCGAATTACAAATGTTACCTAAATTATGCATGGACGGTATCGTCATTCATATACGCTACAGTATGGTCGCATGGAATAAGTATTACCAAACCTACGCGCTTCTAAAGCACTCTGTTAGGGTAAACCTGAAGAAATTTTTCCTAAATCTGGTTGGTAACAAGTTGCAAATTTGTAGATAGACAGACAGATAAAGAAAAAAAATTTATAGAGTTGTCTTCCTAACATTCTGTAATAATTATCAAAAGTGTCAGAGTATTAGGGTAGGACACGAACACTGGGATGGAACGAACAGTGGGATGGAAAGCTAAAATTTGACTCATACAGTTGTCTTCGGTGACAGACACAAGGCATATTAGCCATTAGTCAGGGAAACCAATAACTCGTTATGTAACTTGAAGGAGCAAACCTGATGGCTGCAATGGCAGTGTGACCAAAAAACCATAAGTATTTTTCATTTTAACTGAATCTACAGTAAAACAAACTAAAGCAATTTCACCTTCACCGACAAAACATTAAAGTCATTCTTATCGAAAATTCTTAGGATTTTCTAAGACATATTGATCTTTCACTATAGATGATAGCCTTGCATCACAAAAATATATGTAAACACGAATGAAATTCACGCCATAGACGACTTTTGAAGAGGCGATTTTTGAATGTGAAAACTGTCCAATACACTTTTCTCTTTGATTTACGAGATAGCTAGAGAGATGAATAAGAAGTCATTTAAAAGGAATGGGTTTGAAATGCCGACATCATCAACGTCCTCTTGAGAACGTATTATATATACTTGGTTCATTTGCTTACTCCATTTTAAGGTATTGTATAGTGAGTAATTAAATATTAATAAAGAAAATAATATAAAAAAATAAGTAAAATTTTCAAGCGTCTAGACGAACTGTATTAGATAACATAATGTAATAACATTCTTCCTGATTATAACTGATGCTAAAACGAAGCATTACAAAACAGTCATGAAAACCTCCAAAATCATATCATTTCATAAAATGTTAAATATCGGCCACAAGTTTTTCACTGAAATCAATACTCGTTCGTACGCATCAAAGTCAGCAAACTAGAACAACGTCTATTGCTATAAAAATCAGTTGTTGAATTCTAAACAGCATCAGTTCTCATCACTTGCGAACAAATAGCAAATCATTTTTTACTTTTTAAACGGTTGCGAAAAATTGTTATAAAATTTACAACAATGTTCAAACTGGTAACTAAAAGGAATATGTGTTTGGGTCCTTTTGATAAAAAGTAATCATTTCTTTGCAGTTCCTAATTGCATTGGCTTGGGTATGTATGAGTGAAGCTTTTGTACCGAGTCATCATTTTACGGCACCTGAGAATTCATACGGCAACGTTGCTGGTGATGGCAAAGCATCGCAAGGTGAACGTCTGCTTGCAAATCCGCTGACTCTATCTAACTCTTTATACGATGAAAACTCTGTACTATCTTCTGCCTCCTCTAATCTCAATGATAATGCCGGTGCCGGTCTAAGTGGCGGCGTGCGTCAACAGCAAACTGTATCGACACCGCAATCATTAACTCAATCTGGCGGCTTGTCACGTTCCTCGTATTTGGTTAGTTCTTCCGCTTCGGCTTCTGCAAGTTCTGGTGCCACTGGTGCTTCCAACTCCGCTTTACCGTCCGCGTCTAGAACTTCAGCGACCGTGCAGCATCGTTTCTTACCTCCTGAAACCGTGCCTTTATCTTTGCACGTTGCTTCACGTCCTGGTTTACGTACTGTTCTTGTACCCGAAACTTACACTGTACAACATCCTACAGTACATAAAGTTGGTGAAGTTGTTCAAGATATACCAACTGCCGTTTCCCATCAACGCCAAACTGTCGTGCATAAACATGCTCGTGTTGTCACCCCAGTAGTAGCTCCCGGTGTTCGCACTCTGACTTCTCATGTTGTCCGTGCCTACCATACACCTTTGGTATTTGGTTCTCAAAATCCTTCAGTTCATTACGGCAAACATTAAATTGATGCAGCCGTACTGCGCATGCACCCAAAATTTTGAATTGCATTTAATAAATTTTGTAATAGCAAAAAATAAAATTCTATCTTTAGTTGTTCTTTTTTTCTTTTCCCTCCACCCCCCCCATCCCCCCGCCCATGCCACTTCACCTCTTTCTTTTTCTTCTTATTAAAATTTCATAAAAATAAATTAACAAAAAATTGGTTTAAACAAATAAATTGGATAACATAATTTTAATTAAAGAAAAAACAATTTGTGTATTAATGATAGACCGATGTTGAACACATTTACATGCAAAAGATTGACTTATTTTCAGTCAACTGTCTACTACTTGCACTGATTTATCACAAAAAAAATAGAATAAAAATTAAATTTTTTTTTTTTTTGTTTTTTTTTGTTTTGAAAATCATTCGATTTTTCTTTAAATAAGATATTATATGGGTAGCGGTCACATCGGACGATCTTATTCAATTGACTTTCAATAATGTCCGCCCTTCGAAGAAAATATGTCAATTATGCTAAATGTCATAAAAAATATCGCCAAAAATTGAAAACTACAAGCTAAGCACAAGCATACAAGGACAAGGACATAAAGGACTGCCAAAGCTCAGTTTTTAATGCTTTCAAGAAAGCTAAAGGAACGGAAAGGATTAAAATAGAAGAACAATAGGCAATAGGTCTACAAGTAAATTCCCCCGGAACAAAGCGATGATATCGCCTTCAGGTTTGAATTATTTACTACCAGGAAGTGCTCTATAACAGGAGATGCTCATCACAAAAATTGTCATACGGCCATTGAGAATGAAAGCATAAGACAATAGATGACATAAATTAGATGATATTTAAAAGTTGAACACATCACAGTTAAGAGCATCTACGTAATACGCTCTGGTTTTAACAGCCGAGCAATAGTTTATTGTTACGACTGCTTGTTGCGTATAAGTTTATAGCCAATGTCTGAGAAAGAGAATGCAAGAGAAAGATAAAATGAAAAAAGGAATTTATGTATATGAAAATGAATAAACACTATTTCTAGTTAAAATGTCAGCAACAAGTAACTTTAACATTAAATAATAGTGTTCTAAAGGAATAATAACCGAATCGTTTCAGTTATTATTTTTGTTTTATTATTTGCTACTACTACTAATACTACAACGATTCTTTAAAGGTCTGAAAAAGTGTAAAAGTGAATAATAATTCTAAGAAATATCCATTTATATGGATATCTAATATAATATATTTTGTTTATATGTTTGCCTGGATTTTATATTGAAAATGTTTCAGTTATGAGTTTACTGACATTTCAAATCAATGGCAATGTGTCATGCACCTTGCATCCGTCCTAAATAGAAAACAAGAAAAAGAAGAAGAAAACTGTTTGCTAATAACCAAACTATTGTTTATATATATTGTCGTATAATTTATATACGGCGTAATAAGCGAAAATCTATTTTGCAGGAGTAAAAGGACAAATTATATAACATTTGCAATTATATGATATTAAAATACCTAAAGGAGGCAAGACATGCGTATGCAATGATTATTGTATTCAATATTGCATGAATGCGAAAGTCATAACTGCATTGATTATTTTTTTTTCGGTGAAACAAAAATTTTAATCACTAAATTTTAATGACATAGGTTACGAATACAACATTGTCTTAGATACGTATTGATAGATATTTGATGTTTGTAAAAATATTGATCAATCTTTCACTTGAAAAAGTCATTTATTATGGAAAATTGATATATAACGCATATATTAATCAAAGTAGCTTCCATTCATTCATTTTCCACAAAATTTCACAATACTTTTGGCAAAAGTAGTGGCAAGTGATATCATGTCCAAAGGACTTGTATCGATTTTTCAGCGATCCGCCCATCGACCCAGTTGCGCAGTTCTTCAACTTTGCGCATCCCAGTACCAGCCAAGCTATGCACTGCACTGATCAAGCGGTAATCGGGAAGGTGTCATATCTGGTGAGTACGCGTGACTTGGCAGAATTTCCCATTTGAGTTGCAGCAGTATATCCTGGACAACTCTTGCAATAAGTAGCCAAAAAAATGGCATTTTCAGTCAATTCGTGTCGCCACGTTGAACCCAAAACCGACAATTGGGATATGATCGCGCAGCAGCGTAACCGTAAGCCTCTGAGCGTGTTTCGCGTAGCAGATTTCTTCAAATAAACAACAATCGCAACGAATTTAGAAGAGGAAGAGCTTTCAACGCTCCATGTCGGTTAGTGTCGGCTGAGTACGCTGAATAAATCAAAAATATTGAATAGAAAATTGTTTAACATAGTGTAGAGGAGGGTCAAAACCGTAGAATTCAACCCTCATGTATACTAGTATTTCCCATTTCTTTATCATTTTTACCCACAGAAGTCGCTGATCATAATTTTTGCAAACGTCTAACATTTCGTTTCACTAGTAAAGAAAACAAATGCATTTATGTCGAATTCCCTATAAGTAATGGCACGCTTGGAAGAATGACCAAAATTACTATTTTAAGAAAAACTGAAATTGTCGTCGCATTCCTGTATTCCTTTTCTTTATTGTTTTCATTTACTTGTTCGCATATTCAGATTTATATCTCGTGTAATACGATACGACGATTGAATGTATTATACGAAGAAGGCCTGTACCTATTTGAGTCAACTGAAAGGAGTAATAGTGAAGAAAGATGAAAGCTTCATTTATATAAAATTCAAATTTAAATTCAAATTTTTTATTATGAAAAGCGAAGCGAAAGGATATCGAAAGAAAGAAAGAAGAAAGAAGTAAGAATTTAAGAAAAGGAAAATTGAAAGAAAGATGACAAAAAGGAAAAGAAACAGAAATATCAAAAGAAAGGCAAAGAAAGGCAATCGAATCTTTAACAGAGATTACATAAAGTAGTAGCAGAGATTTTAGGGAATAATATAGAATATGTGCGATCGATATTTGTGCAAAGTACATACAAAGAACTGGCATTTTAAATGCATAAATATTGAATCCGATCAGAAGATAGCACGTGAGAACGAGCTGGGAAACATGCATTTACCAGCACCTTTCAACAGCTTAACTGGGTGTGATTAAGAGAATTTTACTACAGAAACGAATTAATACACAATAGTCTTATCTCCATATGGTAAGTAGTAAATTACACTTTAGTTCCCATACAAGGGAACACTTTTAAACAAATGCAAGTATGTCGATATGGCTCTGATACGACGAAAACCAACTAATTGAAGCATATTTGAATGTAAGCCTCTAATCATGCTAATGGACGGCTTTTTTTAAATCTAAGGATCGCGGAATTCCTTACAGGATTGTTGCACAACAGCCAGACAATGGACTCAAGATGCAAAATAAACAAGCACAAGGGCACAAGAGCAATGAAGCACACTGTTTGATTGCGAAGATGTGCAAGTGCACTTAATGCGCCTACCAGCGAAAGGTCAACACCCAGAAACAAGCTTCGAAGACCCTTTAAAGCGCTACATATATTCTTAATCAATATCGAAGTCTAAATCTGATGATGAGCATGTCCATCTGTCCATCAATCCGAAAACATTATTTTGGTCTGGCTGTAAAAGTTAATATATCGGTTTCATATTTTAAAAAAATCATTGGCCATTTTTGCCAGCAGATGACTATTGAAAATGGGCAAAATCGATTAAAAGACACGCCTGCAGTACAAGATAAACTAAGAACACATTTGTTTTCAAAAGCAAAAAAAAATAAACAAAAATAAATGGATTTTCATATGATTGATTACACTAGATAAACTACTACAACAAATACAATGATAAAAATTTACATATATACACATATAAATAATAAGTATTTTATTATTTAAAAAAATAAAAATCCGACACGCCCCTCCAACATGATAGAGCATTGAAATTAAATTTTTTTATATTTATTTTTTTTTTTTTTTGTTATTAAGCAATGATTTTAAAACAAAGAATTCGCACTTTTACGTATAGTGGAAAAAATGTTTCTCAAGCATTAGAAGAAGGATAAAAGTCCTTTCACTGCTAAGTAAGAAATCCAAAGCACAATCCAAATCGGCACAGGTTCTCAAAATAAACGACGGCAGCAAATCCGATACGAAAAATTTAGGCGTAGAATTACTTCAGCTTTAAAGAAATTTCAATATTAGTAGGAATGTGAAAAGCGGCGGTAATATAAGGGTAGCTTAGCTAGAAACTGCGATCGTACTGTACGTAGAAGATGATAAGGAACCAAATTGCAAAAAAACAAAAGTGCAAGGTCAGTCAGTATAATCGAGACGTGAAGTTGTTGAAGAGTCCTTTCTCCTTCTTTCGGATGTAATCAAGTTATAACCGTGCTCAGTATTGTTTATTGTATAAATATTTATGGATGTATTAGTATACCCTACATCGCTTGTCGTGTACATATAAAGTATATTAAGTTAGTGCAATCGTATGTAGCACGTAGAATGGCTTAATATGGATGCACCTTTCGTTATACCGATCGTTTCAGAAACATAATTTTAATTGATATAAGCCTGTCCGTCCGTCTGATGTCTGTCCATGTAATATTGTGTTCAAGCTATAGGGCGCAATTTTTGAAATATTTCGATGAAATTTAGTACAGGACGAATGCTATTGAAAATAGTTCGAATCGGTGAGCTTTTTCGACCACTCCCCATATAATGCCCGATTCTGAAAAGTAATTATATAGAAAAAAAAATGCAATTTTCAAAATTTCTCAGCAAAAGTGGTTGTACCGGCTGGGGCAGTTTTTGAACCCCTTTATATAGAAACGAGATATAATTTTTATGTTCTGTAATAAAAATACGAACTGTGTTAGGCAATGTGGTGTAGGGTATTTAATGGCCAGCCTTACCCGACTACATGTTCTTATCTATTCTTCCTGTGTAACTGTGTCGCAAAAATTAGACAGTTGCAGACAGCTGCATACTTGCCTATGACAATAAAATGGTTAATAAGGACTGCCTCCTAACTTTTCAACACCGTACATCTCGAAAGACGCCTTAAATGAGTTAGCAACGAAAAGCAAGAAGAAATTTGATGATATACATATATATATGCATTGTACATAGATTTATAGAAAGGTGGCTATTGAAAG